AACCCTCTCAAAAAAAAAAAAAAAAAAAAAAAAGAACCAGCAGTTAGCGTAATGGCTATGTCGCTGGACTCCCACGTAGTTGACTGCGGTTCGTGTCCCGGACCTGGTGGCTTAAAACTCATGCCGGGTGCGTGTGCGTGCGTGCGTGCCCAAGATCCCGAGAGGAGAAGGGATTGCGGCGTGACCATCCCCCCTGGGGGGGTGATTTCTCGCTTTCTGTCTCTATGTCTCTCTCTGTCTGTCTGGCGAGTGCACGCGCCCTACAGTGAAAATCTCTCAAAAACAAAACAAAACAAAACAAAAACATGTCTGGTCCCTTCTTACCTCAGCTCCCAGTCTCACAAATGGCTGGTAAGATGTCTTGGACTGGACCACGGTGGGAATGATTGGTTATGCCACCTAGAAGCTGAGTCTTTAAGTCAGAATGTCTTTTTAATTGCTGAAGGGTCACAGGCACTCATCAGAGGCAGAGAGGGTCCTGTTGGTACTGAGGTCGTGCACGTACTTGCCTGGCGTGTTTTTCAGGCTGCCGGGGCTGGGGCTCAGACTGTAGCCAGCATTAGGGGATCTAGTTTCCCTTAACCACTTGAATACAGGCTGGCCCCAAGTTAACTCAGCAGAAGTTAAAACAGCAGAAGCTACCCTGCTTTGAAGTGTTAAAATAAATTGGGTAAACATTCTGCACAGTACCTCCTCTTTCCAAGAGCTGCTGCAGTATCAAACTACATGTGCCTGAAAGACAGTTCCAATAAGACTTTGACATGAATGACAACAGATGAGGTGTTGCCAAGTCAGCAGAGGGCAGGCAGAGAAAGCAGAGGTGAGTGGGAAAGGTGGAGGTGACCATGTCCCATCCTGGAGACCTGTCTGCCCGATCAGTGGCTGGCTGAGACCCAGGGGAAAAGGGATTGGTTGCCTTTCTCAGCAGAGAGAGGTCAGCTGGGGATGCAGAACCTAGACTGTAAGAATGGCCAGGGCTGGACCAGCAGTTGGCATAATAGTTAAATCACTGGACTCCCATGTAGTCAAACGCAGTTTGAGTCCTGGACCCGGTGACTTAAAACTCATGCTGAGTGTGTGTGCGTGCCCAAGATCCTGAGAGGCGAATGAAGGAGAAGGGATTGCAGCGTGTCCATCTCCCCTGGGGGGTGATTTCTTGCTTTCTGTCTCTTTGGGAAGTTCACATTGCCCTATAGCAAAAATATCGCTCTCAAAAAGAAAAAAAAAAAATGGCCAGGGCCTTAACCTGATGACGATGAGCCCCTTGAGCACCTGCGAAGATGGTATAGAGAGTACCTGGATG